GTTTTCTAAATTTTCCATGAACGAACCATAAAAGGAACACAATTGATTTTACGATTCACGAATTCAAAGGCGTTTGTTTAGATTCTTTGGACTCATTGTGGTCAAATTTTATTCTCTTCGAGTTGGAAAAGTCTAAGTATATTGGTGTATGTTTCGAAGGCATATTCAGTGTTTTAAATTATCTTGGTTCGTTGATCTTAGGCGCTTTCCATTCGACCAAAAATTCTGGGTTTAATTTCCGGAGATTTCCAGTGGTGAAAGGAACATCATTTTCCAAAATGTCCCGAAAAGAGAACAACCTCGTGAGGAATACCCAAATTCTCGAAAATTTCATGCCGGGAATTTCCGATTGATTTGATTTTCTCCCGGAATTCTCTGTTGAATGGTTCGTATTTCGTAAACTCAACAATTCTCGGATTGAGCGGAAACTTTGACTGAAAATTTCTGTTTCGAAGGTTTCGGAATTTTTGGTAAAATGGAGAACGCCCCATATCACGCTTTTCTTGCCATTCAGTATTGTGCCAAAATAGCATCCTAATCGACCAAAGTCATACATCCCTACTCCAATCTGGGGCACCGGGCACTAGATTGGCGCGCTTGGCTACCTGGGACGAATATGAACTTATGAAAGTGCCCACTAAATGTCCCCATGTTTTACATGAACCATCTCCCTTAAAAATTCTGATGTAACATGTTCAATTAAATTTATACATTATCTCCCAAGGGGAGTTCCAATGGTGGAATATTTGTTACAGTATTATACTCTACGACTGGGATAAATCGAGTGTTCATAATTAATTGTAATGTGTGAGTTACCCAACATTTGAAGCTGCAAAATATATGACTAAACCACTTAATACTGCGGGAACAAGAAGTTTTCACCAAATCCTATTTACAAATGAGTCACTGAATTTCGGGAATTGGTAAGCGGCGGCTGCTAATAGCAAGCCTCATTCTCAAACAATCGACAAGCTCATAGAAAACTCGTGAAACATCTTCCGTTCAGAAATAGTTTCCAACTTCATTCCCAGAGTCTTCGTCAAAATATCGGACTTCCGGGTGATAGAATTGCGTATGCTTAGCGTACAAACACGTGACTCAACCAAGTCGCTGGTGCCTACGTCCGCTCATTTTCATTCTCTTTAAACCGACCAATCAAATTCGATCCTGTAGCCAAACTCTCCAGAGTCGCTCGTTTTGCCACGCTTGCGCAGTAAGAAACGAAGACTGGCGGAAAGGGCAATCTCGTTCCCAGAGCCCTCGTTACATTTGTCCAGCGGAACGGGAAAACAAATTGAAAGTTTCTCTAAGAGTTAACAGCTACAAATCAATTTAGACACTTTCCAAATACTCTTCTTGTTCCCGCTAGATACAACGAAATTCAAAGGCGGTTCTCACGAATGTGTTCGACCAGAAGTTTAAAATAATTACTATCAACGTCTGGTTTAACGCTATTGTAACTATTTTTTGTGCCGACGGAGTCCGCTGACATTTTCATTTCATTGACGTACAGTCATCTCTTATCGCATGGAAAGAAAGGTATCATGGGAAATAAGGGAGTGACACACGAAATTAGCATCCAGTCCACCCCACACACGTGACCAGGATACCCGTCCTCAATCCAACACCGACTTTTAACCAATATGGTCACATTACTACCAACAAAATCCACACAAAACTGCTTACGCTAAAATCTTTTCTGTTCATATTAAACAGCTCAATCCTCCTCGTTGTCAAGGGAATGTGTTGGTTTCAACGTTGGTTTGTCGTATTCAACTGTAAATTTGGCCATTTCACTGCTGCATTCGCTAATGGGAATCACAAATGCTGAGATGTCATCATATGAGGCTAACTCGCCATTAGTTCGTCTCCAACCTTTCTCCGTCAATGTGCCTCGCGCGTCCCCGACAAGGGCCTGGGCTGCCATGGCGTACCTACAACAAAGGATAAGGGATAACTAAGTGATAAAATACATCGACTCATCAGGCGTTTATTTGGCGGTTTCATTTCGAGTATACTGTGATGATTATGTGAAACCAAACAAGGGATTACTAATTAAATTTGTAACAAAACTACTTGCGATCATCCATCATTTCAACATCAGTCACAGGAGACCCAGGGGCAATTGGCTTGAGCAACAGGAAGTAAACCGCAAAGCAAAATCGCTGCGAGGAACGCTTACGAGAATAGCATAACTGACTAGGACATAAGTCCCAAAAACATTTGTAATCCTGGCTTCGGACAAAGCATAAAATACATGGGATTACTCCCGGTTACCCATGACTTGATGTTACCGTGTTTTTGCAGTCTGTCTTCTTCTAATTTTCCATACGTTGCAAGAAACAAAACATGGTTATACAAAAACGCAATCAAACACACATTTCACAACATTCCAGCAATAAATACCTTCTTTTGTCTTCTTTAGGAACTTTAGAAAATGTTTCCATAACTAACAGAGCAGCCTAACAAGAGAAAAAGAAGTAACATGAAAAGCTCTGGCTCAGTACTAACTGCTTAAACAACGTGGAGTATTTTTAAGAAAATGAGTTGACGTGGGGAGGGAGGGAGAGTAGGATGTGGAGCAGAGAGGCTGAAGAAGTGAGGAGTAGAGTAAATGAACAGAACGTTTTTCATCCCTTCACAAAAACCAGCAGAAGAGCCACAGATGTTAACCTCTTGCTAGTACCATACTCAGAAAATCTTCAAATATTGTTGATTTGTGAATCCAGCAGTCCATTTGATTACCTTTTCACTGGATAACCTCTCCCAAAGTCCATCAGAAGCCATTATTACCACGTCATCCTCAGTCAGCTTACTGTTGGACAAGTCAAATTTTCGAACCTGAATGTACAGAATATCGTAACACACACTTTAGTAAAGAGCACCTGATGGAAGCTAGAAGTCTTCATGCCCACATTGTAAGAACACATGAACGACTGTCTGTCTGTCTGTCTGTCTGTATATCTGTCTGTCTGTCTACCTGCCTGTCTGCTAAAATCAGTCACCCTAGACCTGAAATGATACCTAACGAAGTCTACGACGACGACGGCGATGCAATTATGTCTGCGGCCACTACAGATATGTGTACTAGCTGTAGTAAGTAACATTAAACTTACCTCCGGTTGTGGGGTAAGGAACGGTTTGATAGGAAGACTACAGAAGGCAACTTTCAGATCGTGATCCCCAAATCCACGGGTCGTCCCTATGGTGTCCAGCAGACGAGCCTAAATAAACAAATGGTGAACAAAAGCACTTGAGCTAATTCAGTCTTAGTAAAGTAGCTAGCAAGTCCTACAAACAGAGCAGTGCATATTTCTCTGTTCTGATTGGAGTACGCTTTTCTCGTCATCGTTTGAGTGTCAGTAACAATAGCAAGACTGCAAATAATATTTATAACAATACAGGCAGAATATGTATCAAGAATCATGTCTTCCATTGACAGTAACACCAAAGGTAGGCACGTTTTAAGCGCGTGTTGCATTTGACTAAAATTAAAAAGCTTACATTTCACATGAAATTGCTCCACAAGTTATTACCTTCTTTCCTTCTCCATTAATCATAGGAAATTTTCTTGTATCTTCCTCAGTCACTGTCTTGAGAGCCCTGTTCAAATACATTTTTAATGCGTTAGATGGAGCAATGAAATGTAAACTGTTCTGGATTACCAAGAATAACAACAATAAGCCTGCATTTTGCCGTATAACGATCATTGTTATTCTTTTCAGTATCCAAGAGCCCGCCGTTACAAGGAACAAGAAACTTTTCGTTTCTCAACACAAACATCTCAGAGCTGGTAACAAAGTTAAATTGGGCTTATGCCTAATTTTAGATCATACCTGTACTTGTCTGATATTTGTACACTTTTTAAATTGTCTCAGTCTGTACAAGAATTAACTAACAGTATTCAACGTACCAGCCAGTCATATGTCTGTCCCTGTATAAAAGTTTTTGACCAATATGTTTTTTTCTTGCTCTCTGTTGAAATTCAAGCCGACCAAAGTCACTTCCAAGAAGCTGGGGCCTCTGATAAGCCTACCAAAGAAAAAAAATACACTGATTGGAAAAAAGATCAGACAGTTAATATCATTGCAGGGGTGAAGTGGTCAAGAGGTTAGCCAGTTGCGGTCGACTATTCAAGCCCGGGTCACAACCCCATATTGGGTACTTTACGATACTATACGATAACTTATTTTATACACGGTATTTCCATCAGTTTATTTTATCTATCTTCCTAACTACAATCAAGGAATAAAAATTCCCCAAAAAATATAACTGCTTTTCATGGAGGCCTTAGAAAAAATTTTTCTTAAAACTGTGGTGACTTAATTTAGTCTTGAACTTGGTTAATGAAGTTGTTTGTGTTAGTTCTATAGGTATATACAAACAGGAATCTTGACAAAAACGATGGGTAGTAACCTGCTAGTCAATCCAAGATAAAGACACTGGAGTAGAGTACCGGCGTTTTGTAGGCCAGCAGGCTTGTAAAGATTTTACAAACAGTTTAAATCAGGAAACAGGCAGCTACATTAATATTATTTTTAATATTAAGACAAAAGTTTTGGAATCAGGTTAGTGTTGAGACCTGACAAGTGGGCAAGTGCTCATGGAAGTGACAGGAAAGAAAGTAAAGATTTGCAACCCATTTCAGTAAAAGCTCTTCTTTCTACAAGTTCCATCACTTAAGAGACAATGATAAGGATAACTAACAGCACTTTACAAGCTGTTACTTTGACTTGTCTAAGAATAACCAATACTGTACAAGAAGCCATTCTTACAAGTAGTTGAACTCTTTGTCTTTCTGACTCAGGAGTGAAGTCTTTTGATAGAGGAACAACTTTTCCCTTATGTGCTAGAATTGCTCTAAGGAAACAAAGACATAAAACAATATAAGAAATAAAACCATGTGAAACTCTCACCACTGTGACAAAATCTTTTCGTAAATCGATGCACAGAGATATTATGGATTATCAAATTGGTTTTTGCTTGTGAAATTACAGTGTCAGGTTTCTGACAAAACCCTGGGCCTCAACCTTAGTCCATGAACAAACAACACAGCCATGTTGCATACATGTGTCTTTTTGCTGGAGATTGAAACACAATGGAGAAACACTGAAAAAAACCATACAGGTTTGCATATTTCTACAGCAACTGATATGAAAACTGTAATGCTTACTGGAAACTCAATAATATTTAACAAAGATGTTGCTAAAACCAAAGTTCATCTCCTAACTTTTTCATGTCAGTCATGATAGTAACTTGTCTTACCTACAGTCCCCTGCATTAGCCACGTATAATCTTTTTCCAAGAAACAGAGCTACTAAGGCTGCACAGCCTCCATCAATCCTATATGTTACCTTTTCTCTTCTGATCTGTTCATCCTGACAGAAGAAGAACGTAGAGCAGTCACACAACTTTTAAAGTATTGGCTGGCCTCTGGATAAAGACTCAAAAAGGTCTAGAATATTGTTTGTAATTTTTTGGTTGGGCAAGACGCTTAACTCTCACATGCAATGCCTTTCTTTACCTCTCCAAAATAGAAGTTGTATGGAGAAACATAACTGACATAGCAAGTAATTTATATGTACAAACTCACCATTTCAAAAAAAGCTTCTTCCAAGACTCCAATAACTAGACTATCAATTGTCACTGAGGAGACAACAGCCTCAGCTAACTCCTCAGCCATCGCAAGCTTCTCGTCATTCTCATAAGCCAACAAATCCTTCACTCCCTGCAGCTTCTCCATAATATGAATATGAAGTTGATTGACAGCCATAAGAGCTGCCCCACATCCAGCGTGGCCATCAAATATCCCAAAATATGCATAGGGAATCTTTATCTGTAAAGAGTCAGTTCTAGATTAGTTGTAATGATCCTCCCAAGTGTAAACCCCTTGCCTAAAGGAGGAACTAAATTAAAGCCTTAACATTTGCTATAACCATTGAAAGAGAACACCCCTTTTAACAGACACTTGAGGTCATAAGTCAATTTACTAGTAGTCCAACCTGAAACCATCCTTCCGGCTCTAGCCCATAGATCCTACCTGGTAAATCTCATGACTTAACTAATCAGAGTCCCCTTCAATGAGCCATGATCCACCCATTAATGAACTGAATCTGGAAAGGTCCTCCTGGGATGGGATGTAGGATGGTCCTAGGATGGCCCACAATTAGACCAGTTCCATAAAGGCAGCTTATGGACTGGGTTCACAATAATGGTCCATAAATTAGGTTCACATGAACATTCTATGGATTGGTTCCACGAGGGTCATTTTATGAAATTATGGGTGTAAAAGAGTCGTCTAGAAATTGTGTTCAAAAGAGTGGTCCATGGATCAATCCCGTAGGATTTGATTCATGAATTAGGTTCACAAGGATGGGCAAGGGATCAGCTCCAAATTGGTCAGTTATGAAATGGGTTTGTAAGAGTGGTCCATAGATTGGGTGCAAAAGGGTGGTCCATACATTAGGCCAATTACAGGGTGTCAATCATGTATGGATTGGGTTAAAAAGGGTATCAAGGAATTGGGACCATAATCATGGTGGTCCACAATGGTGGTCCATAATTTGAGACCATCAGGGCAATCCATAAATTGAGTCCATTTAAGGGTGATCAATGGATTGGGTCCTTATGGGTGATCAGTAGATTGGAACCCTAGGGGTGATCTATGGATGGAGTCCATAAGGGTGATCCAATCCTCTGTAAGGAAAATGATGGTGGCTGTACATTTTCTTCACGAACCTATAGCTACCACAGCCCATTAGGCACAAGGATAAGGCTCCATTTTGTTTCAGTATTTGTCCCTGTACTAACAACACTGTGCATGCTAGGACTGAAGGGTGTAGAACTTTCCTGAATGAACATTGTCGGTGTTTTCTTGTGCTATGACTTATATATATAGGTAAATGCACCAGTTGCCATGATTTTTTGTTACAGAAGATTGAATTTGGTCTGTAAGGCTAGTTCATGGAATAGGTCCCACGGAGTGGGTGTACGAGGGTAATCCATGGACTGTGCCCATAAGGTTGATCCATGGACTGGTTCCACAAAAGTGATCCATAGATTGGGTCCATTAAAAGTGGCCCATGGGTTGGGTTTCTATGGGTGGTCCATGGATGCATTCATAAGCATAGTCCAAGGTACATGTAGTTTACAGCCTGGCAAAGGATCTATGACTGATCAGTGACTACTATAATACTGCTGTAGATCCAGCAAATGTGGCACAGTGTGTGAATCACCCTTCCGGATTTATTAATTAAGGTGGCCTATGGATTATTGATTTTTAGAGAGTAAAGTTGTAAAATTTAACATGTACCTGTGTAACATGCTCAGGACTTCCTTCACTTTCTGTAGACTCACTAGTTGATTTGCTGACATTTAAGCAAAACATTCCAGTGACAGACTGGTCCTCATTCTTGTGCGGTGTCTTCCCGGCATTGATAGTTCTGAAAAAGTGGTAAATTGCTCATAAAATAATAAAAACAAGAAACCTTTTTGATGATGCAGACATAATTCTATTATTGGTTATCTATGTAGAGCACCTTCTATCCAGACATTGATTGACAGTACTTACTGTAAATTACTAGAAAACCTAGTCTACTTTAAATTACTTTCCAGTGCTGTGGTGACAACCCAAGTGGCCCATACCACTGAACATTCATTTGGTGATGGCAAAATTTGTTAACTGCCATGCAGGCACCAAATTGTTAGTGTGCTGAACTCTAGATCAGGCAGTCTGGGTTCTAGCAGTGGCTGGCATGTTAGATTGTGTTGTGTTCTCAGACAGTTCTGAGGCACTTTACTCTCACAGTGTGACACTCAATCCAGGTCAACTCAATCGCATGTAAATTGGTACCAGTGACAAACTGACAAATCCTGCAATACACTTAAGTTCAATAGACGAGTTCATAGCCTGAGATCAAGCTCTCCCCTGGACTTCCGCATGAGCCTCCTGCTTGTTCACACTACAGAAACAGTAACAAGTTCTGCAGGTGTAAGACCCTTTTTGAGCCAAGTGCGGACTCCCTTGTTTTACTAGTAAATACCACATAAAAACATTGCACAAATAAAAATCAAAATATCTGAATTAACCACTCCCATGACACTTTTCAGGACCATTGGAAACAAGCCGTGAAGCAAATAGAGGCATCAGCACAAACTGTGAGAGAGTGCAATAATGTGCTCCCATTGGAAAATGCAAGAAATATAAAAAGTTAAATGTCTGTATGCGAAGATAATTATTTATGCAAAGTGAGTCGGCAACAAATTACCAGGAAAAAATAAAGGTACAATCCCCTCTTATCATTAAAATTTAGAGAGAATTCGAAAACGTCCCGTTGAGATCACGGAAGCCAATTTAATATAAGTTGCAATTGTTTTTACCATGACATCTACAGAAAACGATGAAAAATAAATGTGGACAAGAATCATCAAATAAGTTAACTCTCTCAGGTTGTAGTTATTTGGAGTACAACCACTCAGTACTGGTGATTTTGTGTGAAGCCCAACTCATTTATTATTCAGCCTGTACACTGGGTTATTATCGACAGAAACTAATTCTAGCGATCACGACGGTTGGGACCTCCTCCTTGAGCAGTAAATAAATTCTAAATATTTGCCGACTTCAAATCAAGGGGTTTTATTTTTACGAGGGGAGGAAAATAGCCCAAAAATAAGCTTAACTCCTTTCAGCAGGAAGTTAAAGCAGTACGTGTTTGAGCGCAAAATCTTCCGTGCAACCATTAAAGCTGCGGTCGCATCTACATGAGATTATAGGCTAAGTTATGAAACCTTACTCTGCATATCCTGCATTAAAGGGCAGTTCCCTGTGTGGAATAATAATCGGTCTTGATTCATGGTCCGAGGCTGCTTGTTCAGACTCCTCGTTCAGTTGAAGAAACTCCGGTCTTCGATACGTGTACTTTTCGTCTAACATGTCATCATAGACTCGAAAGCCCAGCCGTCTGTCCGAGTTGACGTTCGTGAAGTAAGCAAGTGCATTCGCTGTGTTAATATTTAGCATTCGTCTTAGGCCATTGAAGCTCATATTTAGATCCCTAAAGAGGTTTACAGTTAGGGCTCTTCCGAGCAAAGGAAAATAAAAGATAAATTAAAACAATACAAATGGGAAACCGCTGAAACTGACTCATTATTCTCCCTAGGTAGTGGGGTGGGGACGGTAGGTTTCAGCTTCACAACGAGGCGAGGAAGGAAGCACAGGGAGAAATCCACGGAGCGGGAATACGGCCCGGGGGAGGTACTTTGGGAATTTCTGGGCGGGGATGTGCGGCTGGGACCCTGGAACCCTTAGCCTATACCAGAGCTAGTTCAGCTGAATTTTGCTACCCTGTACTAGAGTAAACTCCCCAAATCCCCC